CGAAAAGTGCGGACCCTGAAGATCCAACTGGACACAGACCAGCCAACCATTAAGGCTCGGGGGGCACAAAGAGCCCCAACGAGACACGCAGAGCCCCCCCCTTGACACACACACACACACACCACACACACAACACACACACACAACACACACAACACACACAACACACACAACACACAACACACACACAACACACACAACACACACACAACACACAACACACACACACAACACACACAACACACACACAACACACACAACACACACAACACACACACAACACACACACACACACAACACACACAACACACACAACACACACACAACACACAACACACAACACACAACACACAACACACAACACACAACACACACAACACACACACACACACGCGCGCACGCACACGCACACGCACACGCACACGCACACGCACACGCACACGCACACGCACACGCACACGCACACGCACACGCACACGCACACGCACACGCACACACACACACACCACACACACACAAAACGCTGGACGCCAACTTCTCCACGGGGGCCCAGACGGGGGTTCTGGAAGCCCTGACCCAAAAGTGCTAACATGTGTCTGGGACGCATCTTTTACTTCCGCGGGCTTCCGCCGGCGCCTTCCGCTGGCCTTTCACGGAGGAAAACATGTTAACCTCTGGACTTCTCGAACGCCCAGCCACTCCTCCCGTGAAGGCACGAGGCACCTCTCGTGACCCTGTCGGGTGTTACGGCTGGACCTGAGACATAACAACATCCTTCAAGAGCGTGAGACCCTCCGTTGGTCAAACTGAATGACATTCGAGGGTGCCCTACCCCAAGATGCAAAAGCACATCCCGCAAACACGAAGAACATTAGGACATCCTCCCCGAATCGACTTCGATTTTATACTTCGGTCCGACCGTACAAGAGGTGGCCATGGCCAAATGTGTCCCCCACTTTCCGCATCCTGCTGGCACAGCTAGGGCCGCATGAGCCTCGCGATGGGGCGCCGTGGACGCCCCAGGCGGCCTGCAGAGCAGCCCTCACGAGGCCCCCCTGGGGGCTCCAGAATGGCGTGGAAAGCTCCCGGGGCACACGGGGCCAGGAGCACCCCCGACGGCCTCTCCCGCGTCGGGGAGAGAGGCGGCGCGGAGCGGGGGGGGCGCTTTGCGGATTGGGCGCGTGGCTGGCTGGCTGGAGGCGGGGGGGGGGGGGCGAGGTTAGGAGGGTGGGAGGGAGCTGGAGGCGGAGGAGGAGGCGGAACGGGAGTGCCCGTCACCAGAAGAGAGGGGATGCAAGCGGACACGACCAAGGACGACAGAAAACCCGTCAAGTGGAAAAAGAAAAGGTACCTCACGACCTTCCGCAGTTCGACGGCCTCGCAAGAATTGCTGCGAAAGGCCTGCAAGCCGAGCGAAGAGGAGGTGCGCTTAAACCAAGAGGGCGGAAGGGGAGGGGGACGAGGACGAGGAGGAGGAGAAGGGGGGGAGGACAGGACAGGACAGGACATCTGCATTTAAAGGGTCAACGTCGCAACGCCCGCAACAGAGCTGTGGGGTACGACTTGCAAAATCCCCTGCGAATGAAGCTCGCCGCAGACCCAAACTTCTCACGGGGCCAGCAGGGGGCGTGCCCCGAAGCTCTACGGGGCGAGCTCCGAAGTGGTTCCGTAAGAGAGGCTCGCTACCATGTGAGAGTGCGAGTCCCTACGGGACAGTGCGGGGGGAGCGGCTGTTGGCCCTGTCGCGTGCCCATTCCAACGGGGGCGCGCTGGGCGAGCAGGGCCCCCAAGCAGGGGGAGAAAGACGACGCGACCACTCCCCTGCACAAGAGAGGGAGGAGGGAGGGACTGCCGGAGGCCCCCTCGTGCCAAACGCATGCTGGGGGGCATAATTAATATTGTACCGAAATGTCCTGCTGGGCCCACTCTACTAACGGGGCCCCTCCCTCCCTGGACTCACTTCGCTTCCTGGACGTGCTGGTCGATGGCCGAATCACGCAATGTAGTGTTCGACGCAAGTCCTGTGCTGCAATGCGCTGCATCCAAATTCTCTGTAGTAGTCACAGCGCACCTCTGAAATACCCCCTCCGGTCGGCATGTACGTAGGGGCGAGCAATGCCATGAATGCCACGGCGCGCGGGAGGTTCTCTAGTGGTTCCCGCCGGGCCCTCGTTTTTCACTTTTCGCCAAAGTGGTGATGTATCCATCTGAATGTGCACCTGTCGGCGCTTCAGGGAAAGACGCTTATGCTGGCGCAGGCCCCGCTGGCCTGCGCCCCGAGATGCCTTCGCCAGCGCAGCCGCAGGTGCGAGCGGGCGCTTTCGCGCGCGGCCGCTGGAGCTAGCCGCCCCGTCTGACAACGGCGAACTGCTAGAACATCTCGGTGCCGTTTAGCAAGGTGCCCAAGCTCTCGCGCCGTTCCTGACGACGCTTGGGCCTCTCGACCTCCTTCTTCTCGAGCCTCTCGTTTGACTTCCGCTCCCTCTCGGATGCCTCCGCGACGCCCTGCAGATTCTCCAAGTCGTTCTTCGTGATCCGCATCGCATGCTCGCGCCAGCTGCGCGACGAGAAATACTTCCTCCCTGCTGATTGCCACGCGCCCACTGGGTACCTTGCTATCAGTTCGCAGCCCTCTGCGTGGTGCGCCATCGGGAAGGCGGGCGGGGTCATCTCCCGCGGGTCATCTGGGCGCAGCCTCTGGGCTGCATCGAAGAACTGGCGGTGGTGCTCTTCGATCGCGTCGTCGGTCTTCTGCGGCAGCCTCTCGGGTGCAAATGCCTCCCGCTTGCAAGTGACGAGGAGCTCCACCACCGTCGACGGGCCGTTGCGGCGCGGGTGCAATCGCGACGCGCAGCCGATCTCGGGCCACTTCGCGTGGTCCTCGGTGAAGTTGCTCTTCATCTTGTCCACCCATTCTTTTATGAGCTGGTCCTCGGGGAAGCTCTCCCGAGCAGTCACCAGCGCCTTCCAGTTTACTTAGCACCAGAACTTCTACCGCTCTGATCGCGAGTTAGCGCTGGGCCCCCTTCCACCGCAGCTTGTTTGGGAAGGCTAGTCCGCGCGCGCAGGCGCAGTCCTTGTCCTTGTCCCAGCCTGCGCGGCCCCTGCGCACATTGTACAACTGCATGTCGTCGCTCTACTTGTCCACGCATGTGGACGCCTTCAGGCACTGGGTCTGCTGCGCACCCATGTTCTTGCACGTCTTGTAGTTGCCGTGTTCCAGCAGCTCCCTCTCTTTCTCTTCCACCGCTTGCTTGGCCGCCTCCAATGCTCCCCCATCCTCCATGTCCATGGGCATGTACTCGCGCAGCATGGTGTCGTACTCCTCCGCGCATTTCAAGGCAACCCGCATATGCTCCCCTGCTTTTCCGAAGGCCGCGAAAATGCCCCCGTTCTTCTTGACGCCGTCCACCAGGGCCTTCAACGCCTCCCTGGACCGCTCGAGGACCTTTTTGTTTCTCCTGTTGCGCGACTTCTTCCGCTGGCTACCTTGCTCCTCCGCGTCGACGATCGCCTTCGCTGCCTCGGTTTGCCCCACGGATTGAGCAGCCCGCGTTCGGTCCCTTGCGCGCTGTTTCAGATCACGGCTCAGTTGTTCTTGCGTGATGTACTTCTCCCCGCCATGGCGAAGCTTCTCCTCGTCGCCCCATTCGGTCCATTCCTCGCGCCTGAAGGCCACCTCGCAGTTGACGCACACCCTCTTCCACTGACTCCTTGGTCTTGTTCATGTCCTGGCTCGTTCTTGGTGCGCTCCTTGTGACTCTCCATCATCCTGTAGTGCCCGAACCGCTCGCTGCATCGGCCGCATGGCCAAAGCTTGCCGCTGCTGGAAAAGGCCATGAGCAGCCCTCAGCGTCCTGCACCCCGAGATGCTCTCGCTAGTGCAAGTTCGCGCCAAGGCTGTGGTTGAGCCAGATAGGCTGTGGGAGCTGATGGTACGCGACGGGGGTTCGTCTCCTTTCTGAACTCCCTCCCGTGTTGTGTCCAGTAGTCACTAGTCCCCACGGATACCTCGAAATGTTCTGGGGTCGGGGCCCACTCCTGAACCCCCAATGTCCGTGACTCATCGCTACATTGTTGTCTGTTTGATGCCTGTAAGGTATGCAGGAGGAGGAACAGCTAGGGGAAGGAAGAGCAGGAGGCGCAGGGGAAGGAGGGAGAGGTGGGAGTGGGAGGAGGAGGACGAAGAGGACGAAGAGAAGGCTCGCCCGATCCGTCCAGCGGCGACCGATCCAATCGCCGAGTAGGGGGAGGAGGGTGAAGGTCTTCGTCTTCATCGGCAAGCCGATCTGCAGCGACGGCGACTGGGGGAGGAGGAAGAGCGCGATGCGGAAGTCAGAGGGTGGAGGAGCCGGAGAGGTGTGGCAGGAGCACGGGGGGAACAAGAGGCTGGATGCTGTCTCAAGTCGGAGGGGGGGGAGGCCGAGGTGGGGGCAAGGGGGCAATCGGATCAGAGGATGATCTTCGCAAAACAACAGCGCTGACGCATCGTAAACGCTTCTCGTGGTATAGCCTGAAACCGGTCTTCTCCAAAAGCTGGTGGGCCAATATCACAAGTGCTGCCATTCGACTGAGGACTCTACATCAACCTATCGTGTTAGAGACTCCCCCAAGGACAACAAAGCATGTCCAGGATTTTGAGAACATGTTTTGTTTCCAGAGCTTCGCAGACGTTCCCAAAGGTATCCCCCGAGAGGGGGATGCACCAGTTGCTTGTATGAAAAGTCCTTCAATGCTGGGCTACGCCGAGAACGCTGACGACGAAGAACAAATATGATAGCGACCAAGATGATTATTGGCTTGTTCTTGAAACCGTGCGGCCGACATTTCTAGTGCCGCATTGGGCCTAGTGGTGCGCGAAGTCTTCCCCCATGACGGGAAAACCTCGATCAGGTCGGCAGCATATTGAAAGCATGCGCCCAGGACCCATATCACGCCACACCCACGTCCTGCACATGACGCGCAAAGTCCCGTTCCAGGACGTGGCAACCTCGACCGATCTACACCACGATCGTTCCAGTGCCGGTGCTCTTCCCGAAGACGCTTGGCTCGACAACGGCCTGTAGAGGACGAGAAGACTGGGCGGATCTCTTGGATCGGCGTTGTGCTCCTCTCCCTGGCGCGCGGAGCGGCGCCAGAGGCGCTGCCTGGAGGGCCCAAACGCCGACCCACGAGATCCGCCAAGAGCTCGGACTGCTCATGCTTATGCCGCTTTCCCTTCTTCGAGCCTCGGCCCCCGACATCACGACGCTCGCCAGCACCTCCCCGTCGCCGTGCGAGAAGACCACGTCCCACTCCCCGGGGCTCACCACCCGGTTCCCCGAGGCATCGCTCAGGGCCAAGTCCGCCGAGCGCAGCGTGAAGACGAGATCCTGGGGGGGAACGACAGGGGGGGGACCGGCTACGGGGGGAAACGTCGACCTGTACTCGGCGATACATCGCCGATAGATCGGCGATCGGCCCCCGAGAGCGACCTACGCGCTCCCAGGCGAGGTGGGCTACCAGGCCCCTTATCGGCGATCAGTGGGCGATTGGGGCTCGCTGCGTCCCCCCATTGAGCCAATCTCCGTCCTGGGTGGTTTGCGGGCCCATAAAGCGGGCCTCTGGTGGCCGTTCGGAACGATCCAGGCACCCCCTGCAAGCTCTCGGCGAAGCGCAACTGCTGGGGAGCACCCCGAGCCTGGAGGGCCGCCGAGAACCGACGCAAACGCCCGCAAACCTCGAAGCGTTGCCCCCCAGCGCTGCCCCTGAGTCACGAGCGGCGAACATTCCCGGATCCGCGCCCACGCGGTCTGGATTCCGCGGCGCGATCCCGCGGATGCGCGGTCGCACGGATAATTACGTTGCGCGTGGGGCATCCGCGAAACAACGCCCTGTATCCGCGGGGTCGCGGCCCAGGGGCCCAACCTGCGAGGCCGCGGATACGGATCTATTTTTTCCTCTGACGACCGAGGTCCGCGGTCTCGCCCACCGCCAGCTGGGCGCCCTGGTAGCCCCACATGCGCTGGCGCAGGGCGCCGGGCGCGGTGGCGCCGCGCGGCCGCGCGAGCGCGAGCACGCGCTGGCTGCCGGCCCAGGGCCCGGCGTTCGTGAGCCGCACGGTGAAGGACGCCGCCCCGCTCCGGGTGCCGAGCCGCCGCTGGGCGCCCTCCGCGACCTCCGGCCACGCGAAAGAGGAAGCCTAAGCCTGGGCACGAGTGACCTCCGGTGCGCGGCTTTTGGGGGGCCGCGGGGGAGGCCAGATGCAGGCCATCCCAGCGGCCCAGCGCGACCGCCAGTGCTGGCGGGACCCCTGCGGGCCCGCATCAAAGGTCACTCCGGCGAAGGATCAGTCTTGCGTGTAGCCGGGACCTCCATGGCCCACGAGGAGTAGGAGAGGCCAGCCCCGAAGGGGAACTCGGGCGTGCCCGTGTAGTAAAGGTGGGTCCTACTCAGGGGATCAGGAAGCAACTCCCGGGAGGTCTTCGTGGAAACAACTCCTGGGAGGTCTTCGTGGAAACGGTTCGCCCAGGCTTAACCAAGCCCAGGATGACGCACATCGAATGGCATTGGTCGATCTTGACTGGGATCATGCCCACTTGAGCGTGTTTTCGGCCACGAACAGGTGCTCTTCTGCTGGCTGCATAAGCCTTCGCGACCCCATATCTCCGATCATGTACTTGCTATGTGTTCTTCCTGGATTTGGGCCTCTGGGGGCCCATCATCGGGCCCCTGGGCCGTCAAACATGAATCCAGGACAAAACATGCCCCCTGGGAAGGGGTCCCGAAGCCTGGGAGCCGCGCACTGAAGCAAATATCGTCGGATGCCCGGAGCTGATGCTGCTTGGAGGCCTAAAGACCAGTTTGGGCTCTCGCCGCTCGCCCGACTCCGAAGTACTATTTTTCTTGTGGGCGCAGCCCATTTCGCTGGCCAGCGCCAGTGTGGTATCTGCGTGTGCACTGTGCGCCTCGTAGCGGCCCCATGAGTGCCCATCGGCTGCGCTGCAGCTGCCTCGCATCCATCTCTTAGCGAATTACGTTCTGCCTCATAGCTGCCGCGCGGCTGCTGCACACCCGCCCTGCAATCGGCCTGCTGCACCCCGATCGGCACCTCCTGGTTGCCCAGAGCTTCGAAGCTTACAGTAGGCACATACGATGATATATCTTGTCATGAGAAAACTCTGGGCACATTCTTTGTCGATCCTGGAGGTTCCTGCGGTGCCCCAGAGCTTCTGTGGCCCCCTAAGGCCATCGGGTGATCAGAAACTTCCGTGGGGCGCCTGCCGGCGGGCCGGTTCCTTGTCTGACGTGCCTGACGTGACCCGGAGCGCTGCTTCGCGTCTGCCCCGCATCCAACGCGTATGAGCAGCACTCCTGCTTTGAGCGATCTCGCCGCCATAAAACACATAGGAATCTCGCAGCTTCGGTGCAGGTAACCTCGACTCACACATCACGGACCCGCCGCGGGCGGCGGCCCACAGCGCACCTCGGCGTGGCATGCTCGTAGCCTTTACACATGCGTGTGTACGTCTGCACACACGTGTATATAACGTGTGTGCGAGCGCATGTTTACACCTGTACCCTCATAGAACGCAAGTGTTCTTCGGTCCTGCCCGGTGGCGCGCTCACCGACATCTGCGTGATGGGCAGCTGCTGCATGTACTCTGGCGGGTACATGGTCACAGGCAGCTTCCCGGACGGGTTGTACTCGCCAAACAGCACCGCCGCCAGCGCCTCCGAGCCACTCTCGCCGCCGTAGAACGCGTCGACGATCGCGGGGACTCCCTCGCTGGCCAGGGGGAGGCTGGCTAGCCCAGAGGTAATCTATTAAGTTAGATGGGGCCAGGGATCCCCATTGCAAGCTGCCTTTGCGCTGTGCGTCCAGCGACCGTAAGATTCATCGAACTATGTGAAATATTTCGCTGCCGTCGCGATCGCTTTGCTGTCGGGATTCTGGTGAGCACACAATTCGCATGAGTCACGGCCAACGCCGTCCCTTCTCCCAGAAAGACAATCGGCTGGGCGACGCTCATTTTCGGACTTCTGCCTTCCCGCTCAACCCGATACAAAACTCCCTTCAAGTAAACACGCTTGATTGAAAAGGAACAGTGACCAGACCTGGCCAGCGCAGTCCCGTAAACAATGCGACCACGACACTCACTGGATAACCGAAAAAAGACACTTCGCAAATCGGCTTGGCAAGGTGGGGGCTCTCGCAATCCCCCGCAAATGTATGTATAATGCGTAAATATGTATGCATATATATATATATATATATATATGTATGTTCACACGAAGGAGTCGGAGGAGGAGGAGGAACAGGATGAGGAACAGAGGCCGCCCCATCACCACCAACCTTTCAAGCGAGTGCCATCCCCGCGGCTTTCAATCTTCTCCCCACCTCCTTCAAGTGCCCCAGGCACAGCGCCCCGCCGTGGATGAGCACCATCACCGTCGGCTTCTTAAGCGCGGAGATGGCCTCCACCAACTCTGGCTGGTGGCCTGGCAGCCCGCAGTCGGACCGGTCGTGCTCCTCTCCCTCCTTGGACATCTGTAAAGGCTTGCCTCACCTTCACCACATACTTTGACCAAAACCTTACACTACACCTTGCACAACATGGTTCCAGAACCGAGCCGAACCGTCCGAACCGAACCAAGCCGAACCGAACCAATAGGGGGCCACATGCGAACCCTACCCCTACCCCCCACGATTTTTGACGGGGAGGGTGTGGTTCACTTCGCTCGGGAGCTCCCGAACGAAGTGAACCCCACCCTCCTCCTCAGAAATCGTGGGGGGGTAGGGGTAGGGTTCGCATGTGGCCCCCTAACCAAGCGAACCTTTTTCTCAAAGCGGACCGAACCGAACCGAACCGGTCGTTGTCGACACTCGAATCGAACCGAACCGAACCGGCTTCGAACTTGATCCTGAAACAAGCCGGACCTCCTTCCCGAACTGGACTGACCCGGACGACGGCGAGCATGGCGAATGAAACGACGACGACGACGACGACTACGACGACGACGAGCACGACGAGTACGACGAATACGACGAGTGCTTCGACGCGTATGACGAGTGCGACGCCGAATGCGACGAGAACGACGGGCACGACGAGCGCTACCAGCACCACGAAATACGACGAGCGCAACCTGAGCCTCCCTGGGGCCCTCCCCCTCGGCTGGCCCCCCATCGGGTGCCCCCTTCGGGTGCCTCCCTCGGGTGCCTCCCTCGGGTGCCCCCCTCGGGTGACCCCCTCGGGGGCCCCCCATCGACGACCCCTCTCGGGTGCCCCCCTCGGCTGCCCCCCTCGGGTGCGCTCTCTGGGGTTCCCTCGGCTGCCCTCCCATCGGGTGCCCCCCCTATCGGGTGCCCCCTTCGGGTGCCTCCCTCGGGTGCCCCCCTCGGGTGCCCCCCTCGGGTGCCCCCTTCGGGTGCCGCCCTCGGGTACCCACCTCGACGACCTCCCTCGAAGACCCCCTCGGGTAACCCCCCTCGACGACACACCTCGACGACCCCACTCGGGTGCCCCCCTCGGGTGCCCTCCTCGACGACCCCCCTCGGGTGATCCCCTCGGGTGTCCCCCCTCGACGACCCCCTCGGGCGCCCCCCTCGACGGTCCCCTCTGATTCCCCCTCTCGGGTGACCTTGGGTGCCTCCCCCCTTGCCTGGTTAGAATTCTGATATGAGGTAGGCTTCTCGAGCGGGTCCCTTTACAACGACCTTAGGAGCCTCGGACTGGCGTCCCAAAATTAAACTTCTAGGCTATGCTTTTCCTACTTGCGTGCACGTTCTGAATGCAACCGTGTGGATTTGAATATGGGAAACATATCTCCCGACGTCTTAACCGACTCAAGCCATGACAAGTGCTTATCATCGATACCTTAGCTTGCTCTTGGCCACGATGTTCATCGATCTCCCGAATTTGGTAGCGGAGCCTGTTAGGAGGCTCCGTCCACGGACCGCACCGCTTACGCGGGCGCACTGATCAGGCTACTACAGCAGATCGACTTGGTTTCATATTTACATCAGGTACCACAGCTACGACAGCGCACGACTTGGTTTCGAGATGTGCACCAGCTGCCAGCAGCTACTACAGGACTGGTTTTGAGATCTACATCATATACCAGTGGATTCGAATATTCATGGCAGTACTGGTCTTCGCCAGCTAGGTCCCCGCCAGTGCACGAAATGTGCCCCCTGGTTGGAGACCCCGCGCCTGCCCGATCAGAGAATATAAAGAATAATTGGCCATCTGGGGAAGACTCACCAAACTGGATCAAGAACATATTGGACCCGCGATCATGCCAATATTCGAAAGTGGAACTTTTCGCATCGCCCTAAGATTGACGATTCAACGTCTGGACGCAGAGAAGCACGGAGGTCTTAACATTGGCGACAGCGGTAAGGTTTCGTTCTTTTCTCTTGGCCAGGACTCCAAGAAAGACAACTATCAAATTTGAGACTCAGAAATTGTGGAGATTTGTCACGCTACCGCGAGATGATTGCCTTACATATGCAGATCTCAAAGAATGAACCTGCCAACTGCGAAGTATAACACGGAGGACTACGACGAAGCCGGTTGACACGACGAGAAATACTGGAACGAAGATGAGGACTGGTACGATAAATAATAAAACATACAATAATATTGCTCTGACAAATACTACGAAAATGATTGGCAAAAAGAACCACACTATGACTACGGAACAGCCGGCTACAATGACCATTATGGCGAAACAAAAAGAAGAATCGTGGAGGCAACTCTCGCCGAGGAAAACGTCACGACTACCCTCGAGGCGACAAGAAAGGCAAAGGCAAACGAACGAGCGGAACTCAATGCATGGAGTGCGGAAGGAAGTGGCATTCGACGGAACAGTGTCCAATGAAATCAAGAACTGGAACATCAGGAGATGGACAGCAAACCTCAGTAGAAGATCACCACGCCGAAAAAGAACGACAACGAGAAAATTAAACATATTGGCAGAACCGGAGCAATAATGGAGACCATCACTGCGATCCTGGAATGGAAATGGATACGACAGAAAACCACAAACACCACGATATCAACCCAAACGAGGAAAAGGACGACGTGCAATGGACAAGAGCTACTCCAGAATATTCAAAATCAAGGGCAAAAACAGAACAAGAAAAGGCAATCCATATATATATATATATATGTATATGTATCTATATATATACACATATATATATATATATATGAAAAAGACGGCAACCACTCACACTACAATGGCCAAATGTACGACTTTTCCGACTACCAATACGCGAGACGGAACTAAACAAAATTCTGATGACAACGCTACGGGCTTCGTTCCTACACCGGACTATGCTGGATATGTTATGCAAAGACGCGACAAGATCAGAGCAGGAAAGGCCTGCCAAATGATAATGGACCCGACCCTCAAAGAGTACATCAGACTGCAAAGGCAAACGAAACCAAGACAGGTTCCACTTCACTCTCATCAGGAGGAATTGGTTTTCAAGAGCCCCCAGGACTACAGCGCCAAACTATTCGACGCTATAAACCACTGTATGTTCCTAGACGGCTACAAGCATGGATGCACCGAGGATTTGTCACGCTTATCAGAGAACTTCGACATCAAAATGTTCAAAATGCGGCAAACAATGTTGCTCGGATCCCTCTTTCTTCAATTTCGCCAAAAACAGCATCTTGTGTTTTGAGTGTACCGCCAGCCACGTCAACGACGCGACTGTTATCAAGGATGAACAGCAAGAAGGATCCTCAAGCGCATCGAGCCCGACCTTGAGCACGACACCATCATCATTTATTAACATCGGATCGATACCAGAGGCTACGAGATAATATGATAATGACGACGGAGAAGTAAAGGAAGTGCATTCCACCATGGAACAGGAATATCACGAATGCTTTATTGCTCGATGCATGATCTACCACAACAACAGATGTCACAACTTCACGGTGATCAAACGCATCAAGGCGTACGGCCTACTCATCGACCCAGGAGCCTCGATAATATTGATTGGCACAGATACCCTCGCAGACATCATAGACCACATCCTCAACCCAACCGGTCTTGACAAGTTCGTGACGTGGCCGCCCAATACCAACCAATTCACAAGTATCACAGCAGACCCGCAGAAATCATTGTCACTTGTTTTGTTTCCGATTGGTTTGCAAGGGAAGGCGACTTTCACTGCAGGACTTCTTGGAGGACTTTCATCGGAGTGCCCTGGCCTGATACCACTGGTGAGCTTGATCAATGCAGGATGCAACATATGCTGTGGATACTGCAGCAGCAATGACGGCTTGCTCGGCATCAGGACTACAGATGTTTCTGTTTGTCTTCAAAAGCTATTGTCGCCAGATTCTGGACACTGCGCGCTACCCGTTGATCAGTTCAACAAGCCCTGAGATTGGAAGCAAGACCGCCTGGTAAGGAACGAAAAGCAACACATTGGACGTGCGGCTCAGCGACAGCTCCCGCCATCGAAAAAACATATTTCTACGCCTGCAAGCAATTCTCCCAAAACAACACTTTCTCGACGGCATATGTGGCAGGACCCTGCACGGAAAACAGCAACGAAGAGGCAACCCCTTCGCCATCGATTTTTCAACAAGTCCTGAGCACGACGAGATTCTGTTCGGCCATTACGTGTGTTCACTCCAGAGTCCTACGGTTCATGGGGTACGATTTCGATACCATGCTGGCCTGGTACGCCTATGCTTCCAGACGCCCTCTCTCAAGAGGAGCTCAACGAGGCGAACACTGAGTTCAAAGCTATTTCAGAAATGTTCTACACGACCCTCAAGAACCTACCAGTTGTGACTCCATCTTGTTTATCTCAAGTTCTTGACGCACTCTTGGGGAGCTTTGGTGACAAACTGCCACAAACTACAGTATGGACATGATGTTCTGGAACCTCCAGACTCGCCCTTATCATGCACTGAGCCCCCTTCGACTAGCTCGTGTCTTGCCCAGTGGATCTGAGGTGCGGCTGAGACCTTCGTCTGGCAGAACACCATAAGCTACCGCGGACCGCCGATCAACGTTTACGCCACCTGTGACCTCATACGAGCCAAAACGCAAATATTAGAGCCGCATGGGAAGCAACATATCCAAATAGTAATTCAGAGCTGGGGCAACAATAGGCAAACCTACTGAAGTGTTTTCCAGAACGCATGTGGTACATCATACCACGATTGACATGTATTCTCATCAATGGACCACAAACAAAACAAACCATACTTCTGCGAAATGTTCACGAACGTTTCTTGCACACTTCTCCTGAAGACATAATCCGGCTTCTGCAGGCGGGCTTTGCACCCAAGGACATAGTACCGAAACGAGTTCAGATTGCACGAGATTGTTCCATGTGCCAGTCGTAGCAACGGTATCTTCATGCACCAGCTATCATAGCCTCAGTTGACCAACACTTTCAATGAGATAGGTCAGCACGATGTTTTCTGGGAACTTGTGTTAATGTTTTTGATGTGCGAGGCCATTGTATGGAAGGCAGGAGATCATATAGAGAACCAGCTCGGA